CCATTCTGTTATAGGACCTGTTTTGCAAATATTCTCTCTCAATTCGTGGTGTGTATTTTCATTTTCTCCAATGTGTTTTTCAAGGAGCAAAGGTTTTACATTTTGATCAAGTCCAACTTAACAGTTGGTTCCCTTATAATTCTTTGTGTTTTTGTGTCTGATCTTTATCTTTGCCTACCCCCAAAGTTTCAAGGATTTTCTCTTAATGTTTTCTTCTAGAAGATTTATAGTTTTAGCTTTCACTTTAAGATTTGTCATTTACTTCAAGTTAACTTTTCTATAAGGTGTGAAATGAGGGTGAATGTTTATTGTTTTCTATACAGTTAGCTTGTTTTCTGTACAGTTAGCACCATTTGTTGAAATGACGTTTCCCCCATTTAGTTAATTGCCTTGGCACTTTTGTCAAAAAATTCAATTGACCATGTCATTGGGGGTCTATTTTTAGACTCTGTTCTTTCCCATTCATCTGTATGTCTGTCCTATCCTCCAATACCACACTGTCTTTATTCTTATACCTCTATAGTGAATCTTGAAATAAAGTAGTATGAAAACTCCAGTCCTGTAAAACTACTTTGAAAAGCCTAGAACCTTTGTGTTTCCGTATAAATTTTTAAATTGTCAATTTCTGCAAAAACAACCAAAACAAAAAGTGAAAGAAAGCTTGCTGAGATTTTGACTGTCAGAGTGCTTTGAATCTATAGCTCTATTTGGGTAGAATTGAAACCATAATGATACTGATATCTTCCTGTCTATGAACCCTGATATATATCTGCATTTCTTTACGTCTTTATCTTCTGCCAACAATATTTTGCCCTTTTTACTGTAAAGATCTTACACCTTGGATTAGTTTCCTAGGGATGCTGTACCAGATTTTCACAAAGAGGTTGGTTTAAAACAATAGAGATTTATTCTTGCAGTTCAGGGGACAAAAGTTCACAGTCAAGGTATTGGCAGGTTCTTTCTGGACTCTTTAGGGAGAAATCTGTTCCATGCCTAGCTTCTAGAGGCTGCTAGCAATCCTTGTTATTCCTCAGCCAACCTCTCTGCTTATCTCTTCACATGGCCCTCCCCTTCTAGGTAGCAATGTTGTCTGCTTTTCTGTCCCTTACAATGACACTGTCATTGGACTAGGGAACAGCCAAATGCAGGATAATTTCCTCTCAAGATCTTTACCTTAATTGCATCTGCATAGACCCTTTCTCCAAAAAAGGTCACATTCTGGGGTTCCAGGTAGACATACATTTTGAGAACCACAATTGAACTCACTATATGCCTATTTTTGAAAATTTATTTCCAAGTATTTTATGTTTTATGGTGTTATTATAAATGGCTTGTAATTCTTTGTTTCCAATGATTTGCTGCTTGCATCTAAAAATATAATTGATGTGTATGTATTCTTCTTCTATCTTATGATTTTGCTAAATGCATTAATTAGTTCTGGTGATTGTTACATAGATTATTTTAGGATTTTCTACATAAACAAGCACAGCAGTTATAAATAGAGGCAATTTTACTTCTTTTTCTAGTAATGCCTTTTCTTTTTTTTGCTTTATTACAATTACTAGGATGTCCAGTGAAATGGTGACTAGAAGTGATAAGTGCAGGACTTTTCCCCAACATTAGGGGGAAATAATTTTATAATTAGGCATTAAGGATGATGTTTACAGTATGTTTTCTTTACTTAATGCCTGTTACCAGATTTAGAAAGTTCCTTTTTTATTCCTTATGTGCTGAGAGGCTTTTTTTTAAAATAAAAAATGTGTATGAATTTTATCAAATAATTGTTCTGCATCTTTTGAAATAATGATGTGCTTTTTTCCATTTATCCTACTAATATGATGAATTAACTTGATTTTTAAATACAAGCCAATCTTACATTCCTGGAATAAATCCTAATGGGTGACCATTTATATATATATATTTATATTTATATGTTGCAAGATTTGATTTGTTAAAATTCTGTCAAAGATTTTTGCATTTATGTTTATAAAGGATATTGGTCTATGATTGCCTTGTAATTTGTTTTCTAATTTTGATTAAAAAAATATTCCCTCTTCTATTTTTCAGAAAGGTGTGTAAGATTAGTGTTCCTTTTTGCTTGGATATTTGATAGGAATCACCAATCATACCATTTGGACCTGGAATATTCTCTGTGGGAAGGTTTAGATAATAGATTCAATTGCTCTGAGAGATATAAGGCCACTTAGATTTTCTGTTTCATCTGTGTCAGTTTTAGCAAGTGTATTTTTCAAGGAATTTTGCTCATTTTATCTGTGTTCTGACCTAGTTATTTTATATGTTAGCCTAGATACCTTCTCCTCTTTAAACTTTCCCAGATACCCCCAACAGAAGTGACTTCACATTCTTTGTGGCACTACTTTATCTGGTATCATTTGTACTCTCCACTTTCCTTTGTGGTCGTTTGCCCATATGTCTCTTTATATTCTAAGTTAAGGGCCTTGAAGTTCAATGATTGCATCCCATGTATCTTTGAGTCTCTGACACTTTATATGGTGCTTGGCACATAATAGATACCATCCTCCCCCAATGTTTAATCAACCAATTCCATTTACCATTGTCTAATTTATAGTTACACACATGTTTCTTTCTCAGAAGACTATGAGCATCTTTTGCAAAAATGGCAAGTATTATTCAATGTTCATATTCCTTCTATGTCTTATATTTAGAATAATTTTTAAAACTATTAAATAAAATAGACCCATTGAACAGCATAGAAAAGTCAGCATTCTATAAACTCAGATAAGAGAGGTTAAATGGAAATCAGGAAAGTATGCATCAATAAAGGGAAAGAAACAGGGAACTAACATTGTTGAATGCTTACCATATGCCAGACATTATCTTAAATAATCTATATTCCTTGTTATCATTTAACCTTAAAGTAAGTAGGCATAGAAAATGTTACTGGGGCACCTGGGTGGTTCAGTTGTTTGAGTGTCTGACTCTTGGTTTCAGTCATGATTTCAGGGTTATGAGATTGAACCCCTCATCAGGTTCCACACTCAGCAGAGTCTGCTTGAGATTCTCTCCCTCTCCTTGGCTCCTCCCCCACCTGCACACTCATTCCCTAAATGAGTGCGCACCCTCATTCCCTAAAATAAATAAATAAATAAAGTGAAACAGGGTCTCCTACTTCTCCACCATCTTGCCCCTCCCTAAATCTTTTTTAAAAAGGAAAATTTTATTATCCTCATTTTATAAATCAGGAATCTGAGGTGAGGTTTCAAAAAGTTAAGTATTTTGGCAGAGTCCACAGAGTTATTAAGTGGCAGATCTGGGTTTCAGATGCAAGCCTGAATGATTCTATTGTCATCTTCTTGGTTTCAATTTTACTTTTGCCCATTTGGTTTTCTACAAGGCACTTGGTGGATTTTCCCAAGTTACCTTTAAATTCTACCTTTGCCAGAGTAGAATATTCTGTGATTCCCCGGTTAAGTGTTGGGATCACTGTAAGTTTAGGAAAAACTCCAAAGTATTCCCTGAATACTTGTTCTGCCTTTAGCAGGAAATATCCAGAAATGGCAAAGAAGATTCCAAATAGCCTTATCTCAAAGTATGCTGTGTAACTCCCTGTTGTCTCCCTCCTACTCATCAGCCTTTGTCTACAAGCTTGCCATTATTTTGATAATAGCAGATGCAACACTTCTGGATGTGGCTGATTGGTGGGTATCATTGGTTCCTGAGTTCCTGCCTACATGGCATGAGGACAATTAAGAGACCAAGGTTCTGAAAACTCAAGAAATCTTCATAGCTTCTTGTGAACGGAGAGGATATTTCCTTACAGATGATCTCACTTTTGTATATGTTCCATATTTGTTCTGTTTAGAAAGGCCTGTGGGTTACTTTGTGTAAGGCACATTCTTTCTCCTTTTGCTTTGATAAAAGATATTTGAAACACCAGATCCAATCACATAGCACCTTTGCTACTGCTAACTTAGTTGTGTCTATTTTAAGTCTCTTCTCTCTCCATATGGTAGTACTTTACAAGTCACCTAATCAGGGTTACCTATGATAATCAGGCTTTTCCCAATTAGAAATGTGCCTAATGCGCCATTTTCCCAATATATTTTAGCCAAAGAACTGGGAAGGGGAGGCAAGTTTTTCAGTAATTCCAGTCTATCCGTTGGAACAAGAAGTTTCTGAGGTCTTCCCAATGTCAAAAACAACAACATCAAAATAACAGCATTTGTTTCTTTATTTGGGTGTGATACTGTGGTCAGGAACTTGGCTACTTCACCAGAGAAATTATTTGCAATACATCATTGAAGAGATGACTTAATTCACGCTCACTATTCCCCCCTAGTCTACCATGGGAAGGGTGACACTTTCAGTATCAGAAGCACCAGACAAGGCAGCTGGATACATTTTCTGTCTCTTGAAATTCTAGTCTCTGTTGGAACAACTCCCTTAGGCAACCACAGCTCTAGGTTCTTTCTAAGAAATGAAGCTAGTACTCCCAGGGCTGTTCACATTAGGGAACAAAATCTAAAGAAGTATTCCTGCCTTTTCGATGTCAGAGATCACCATAGAGATGTTTCTCAATTTGAGGCAGAAGATATAGCTTTTCTGTGGTCTGAGCATCAAACTTGTTGAAAGGACATTGTCATGACTTAATATTAATTAATAATGTGTATTCACACAAACCTGGATCAAACGATATTCCACATGGAGGCAGGAGAGAAGGGGTTGGAATGAACACATGAACCCTTGGAAGCTGTTTTTCAGCTGGGGATTTTCGAGTAGCCACTGGAAATCAAGGGTAGTACCAAGGATAGTAGGAGTTGAGAAGAACAGAAGGCCAGGATATATCTTTTTTCTTCTACCTTACATTGTGCTTAGACAATGCCCAGTCTATATGAGAGCTACCCTATAAAAAATTGCTGAATGAATAAATGAATGAATGAACGTTTGATTCCAAACATTTTCTTACTCGGTAGCTTCAAATTGTGGTGAATTCGTTGTGTTCCATGTGGGTATTGTAGGAAGCCAGGAAAGACCTTTCTATTAGATCTTGGAAACTGAGAGCATGCCTTGTACTGCCTGGCTAGGACAAGCTTCTGGAGATTCCATTTATCCAGAGGCAGAATGGACCCTCTTCCTTGCTGCTGGAAAATTGTTGCCAGTTTCAACAAAGAGACTAAACTACCTAAGGAAACAATGTTTCCTCTTACAAGGTACAATCTTGGCTCCTCCCGCCATGGGTTGGTGGGGGGAGGGGCTGTTCTTGGAAATGTGCTCCAGAGGCTTTCTTATTTAACCAGGATACAAACTGCATTGCTACATAATTCCCCCTGCTGAGGCCCTATGAAAGGAATGAGTTGGGACAGATACAGCAAGATAGTAGGATAAATTTCGCCCATTCTTCTGGCCGTACTACACAGGAGTAAACTTGATTTCAACAAGATGACCCAATTCTTAGCATGCTTTTCTACCCACTTTGACCCATAACGCTTCCAAGTCACTGTCTGATTCACTATGTGCAGAGAAACAAAATGGAAAAAAAGACAAACTGGCCAGTAAAAAGTAAGATGACATTTAATTAAAACTAAGCTTGCAAGTTAATGGGGGGAAAGGGTTATTTTGTTTAAAAAACAAAACAAAACAAAACAAAAAAAACCCCTGTGATTAAACCTCAGGGTGGCATAGCATATCACTATCCTTTTGTGGTTTTGAGTGTATTTTATTCATGCACTGGAAGTAGATGTTTGTCATACTGTTAATAATTGTTCTACTAAATTGTACTCAGCAGTGTGCATCTCTGTAACCTTGTTTACTATTTTCTTCCTGGACTTTTTTCTTAAGCTCATTTCTGAGGGGTGGTTGGTTCACATAAGCTTTCAATTTTTAAATAACACACACAATCCGTTTTTTTCACTAGGCATCTTTGCTTAAAATGGGGAAGAATCAGATTGTGATTGTGGTGTAAATTAGTAAGTCCTTTTCTTCCCTTTACAAGAAAAGCTGTGGGTAATAGAAAAGAGAACTGAAGGAAATAAAAATTCTAAGGAGGCTTTTATGAACTCAGTCATTAGAGTAAGAAGAGCTAGCTAGCTCCATGGAGTGGGGAGAAGAGAAGAAAATGCAAACGGTTTATTTTTTTAGAGCTCTTACTTTAAGCCTCTTTAGTATCCCCCTTCTCTTCCATCCAGTATCCTGGACCCACCCAGGCCTAGTGAGAATCCAGGGCTGGAGCACTTCAGAAGCTGGAAGGGGAGTGAGAGAGAGGCTGTGGGTAGCCTTGCCTGGTCATCAGGAGAGGTCCAGGCAGAAAGGCTGCCTAGAGAGCCTCACTCTGACCTCTCTGAAACCGCATCAGAGAACCTCCGAAATGGTATCAGTCATCCTGAAACTTGATCGGTAAAGAATTTTCTGCGTGTAAAATGCTTAATCTTAAGAAAAAATAAAATACTTAATCTTGTTGGGATCTTTTGAGGTAGGAAAATCTGATGAGAAGTAAACATTCCCTATATTCCTATGCCTTGGGTATGCTCCTGGAAACACTGGAGGGATTGTTTGCCAAAAAGTTTTGGCAGTGTTCAAGGATGGCTGGCCAAGTCATAAGAGAAGGGAAGAGAAGAGGTTTATGTGGTACTGAGTCCAGCATTGTGTGTAAAACACAGGTTTCAATGTAAAGAAATCTGTTGCACAAAACCCTTGGAAAACATAGCATCCTCTCTTTTCTGTACTACCCCCCCGAAGTACCCTGTTCCTCCAAAAAATTTTTTTAGAAAATAAGGAAAAAATAGGAGGGAATCAACATGACCTTAAGGAAGCAAATCCCTTTGTTTTAATTTTCTTTTCCTTTTGCTTTTACATTTAAGAGTTAAGACAACATTTCAGCAGAGAATTGCGGAGAAGGGTAAAGCGAAATCAATAAAGTTATTCTGTGACTTTTCCCAGGAGGGAGCTGGGTTAATCGAGAACGGCCTGCTTGGCTATATATCAAGTCCGAGGAGAGAGCAGGAGTTGATTTTGAAACAGATTTCCCAGCTAAACTGAAGGAGATATATGTAAATATACATGTATGAACATACATTCATGTGTAATTTTTATATGAGTGGTTTGTGTCTGTGTGTATCCTATTATGTACATTCTAATGTGTATGAACAGGGTATATGACGTGCACACACATTTAAAAAGTAGATGAGAAAATTCCTTTAGGTCATTAGTGATATTGGACAAAAATTCCTCTAACAGTAGTTTCTAGATATTGATCTAGGATCCTTTTACACTTTATAAGTTTCTCTAATAAGTCCTTTGGCTCCCAAAGAAGGAATTTGATGTAATAAAGCCTAAAGTGACAGATGAAGGGATGGAAATGAGATTTCCTGACCCAAGGCCAGTGGAAGTGTCTTTGAGGATGGGGAAACTTCTGAAGAGTCTCTCTGGGTAATTCGTGTGGTTACTTTCTCTAGTGACTACAGAAATTTCTAGTGGGTCTATAGAGCTTCTGGAAGCCAAGTTGGCGAAGGCACTACCTGATTTCATTGGGTCATATTACCACATTCTCCTGTCCACTGGAAGCAGCGGTGGTTTCTTCCTGGACAGATTTGGACAACATAATTGGGTGGGAGGCAGGATACCTGAGTGTCAGTCCTGATGTCATTTTCCCATTGTGATCTTGAGTGAGTTAGCTATCCTTTCTGGACATCAGTTTCCTTTCTTATGAAATAAGATGAATAATTCTTGCTTCTTCCAAACAACTTCCTTATTGCCCAGGAATCTTGTCCACAATTCTTTGTGCTACTCAATGCTCAGATTTTGGAGACCACTAAAGGGTTCTCTCCTTTCCGTGACCTAATATACTGGGATTAATCCCATCATTCTGAAGCCCTTCACATTTTTCTTCTCTCATTTTGGATGTTCAAATTCTGAATTGTTTTTAACGTCAGCTAAGATGCTCTATTCTCTTTCTTTCTTTTTTAAAGATATTATTTATTTATTTTGGGGGGGAAGAGAGAGATCATGAGCAGGAAGAGAGACAGAGGGAGAGTGAGACAATCTCAAGCAGACTCCCCACTGAGCCCAGAGCGCAGTGTGGGGCTTAATCTCATCACCCAGAAACCATGACATGAGCCAAAATCAAGAGTCGGTTGCTTAACCATCTACGTCACACAAGCACCCCTCTATTTTCTAAATTTAAATGCCATATGTATCGTAACTGTTAAGGAAATACTTTTGTAAGAGAATGGAATCTAGACAGAGAGAGAGGGACTATGTGGAGTTCTGGAATTTCCCTGGAGGAAATCTCATAGTGTATCTAGTCTAACCCTCTGTTTTACAGCTGAGGAAGCTAATGATCTGAGAAGTAAAATGTTTTGTCCAAGGTCACTGTGACAGAATTAAGTAGAGAACCCATGTCTCTTTAACTTTCAGTTCTGTATTCTTTCCATTGCTTCATGTGTCTTGAGACCACTATAATTAGAAATAGTACCTGAGGGGTGCCAGAAAGAAAGAGAGAAAGAGAAGAAGGAAGGAAAGAAAGAAAGAATGAACGAAAGAACCTGAAGATAAGTAAGCAGACCAGATAAAGATATCTCAACCTTTGGTTTTCTCCAGGGCCAGATTCTAACTCTGTGTGTAACCTGACCAACATGGCTTTAGCATCCTCATGAAGGATGAAGGCTTCCTGGTTGCCAGAGCCTCTTCTTTTTGTCCCTTCCTGTCCCGTAAGCCCCAACCCAGAATCTGGATCTAATTGAATTCCTATATTTTCATGTCTATTTTGGACATGGTTGCATTTGCCCCGTATTTCATAGCTCTTAAATTCTATCTTTAAGTTGACTTTACGCATTTCTTATTCAACATTTACTGGGAGTTTACTGTGTGCCAGTCATGTGTAGTGGGCTGGAGATACAGAGCCATATCTCACAGGGTCACATGTCCTGTGTGAGATATGTTCCCATCGGATATGCTGGGGGCGCTGGGGAAGGAGATTCTGGGATCATCCAAGGAATCCAAGAAGACAGCCCATCTGGTGATAATTGCCTTTACTCTCTCGTCCCCTTCCTTATGAGGGCAGGTGAGTTAGATTTAGATGATGGTCTTTTCCAGGGTTCTTTCTGCCTTGTTTTCAACAAAAGAGAAGCCATGTGTAGGATTTTTCCTTTACCTCCATGTCCACCCCAGGGTTAGATAGTCTCACCATGAGTTCTCTGAACAAAGCAGTTTTCCTAATACTTCAGTCAATTCTTACTGGGTTGCAGAAAGCAGGTCCTGGGGGCCCAGAGATATGTGCATATGCAGACTAGCTGTGGGGAAGATACTGTCCTCTCATCATTTCCTCCACAACTTTAATTTTTCAATCAATTTTCTTTGTCTCCTTTGGTTTTAAAGACATTGACAAGTTGACACCTAGATGTTCCCTAGAAACACCCAAAGCTCTGTTCACATTTTATAACAGAACACTAGCCAGATTTCGTTTGTTTTGTCTTGTTTTCAAAGTTCTTCTCCTCCTTCCTCACCTTAGAATTTTCCTCACTTTTCCATCAAATTTAAGACGTAGATTAAAGACATGAGACGTGATTAAAGACACAAGACATGATTAAACTCATGGCAGAGGAGGAAGATCATCAATTAAAGATTGCTTGCGTCTGTATGATCATCTATTGGTCTGTTACATAGCACTGTGACCTAGATTAGTATTAAGTTCCCAGAAGAGTACAGGTGCCACAACAATGTATAAAGCACCTATTATGTGGCAGGCTTGATGGCAGCCAGAGTAAGATCACAATCAGTGCCTCTCCATGCAGTGCACGGGAAGTATCTGCAGAGCCAAGAGACCCTTGGGCCCATAAATTCAACAATTTTCCAGACTTGGGCCAGGTAGTCAGAATATCACAGTGAATCTTGGAAGACTTAAGAATGCCAGAAAATTCACGTAACCTCCCCTCATTTGGGAGTGCGGATTGGTTGCCAACAACAATTGGTTTGCTCTGTACCTGCCTGGATTGGAGTGTACAGTCCAACATTCCAGAAGGGCAGAGCAGGAGACCCCGGAAGGCTGGCCTGGCTCCCTCTGACATAGTTCCCTGTGGTCTTCGTGTCATTGCTATTTGCTACATGGAGAGACTCTTTGATGAGTGTTGAATGTGCCACACTTAAAATCTCTGATGTAGCAGTTTCTACCTTTAAAATATGCCTTGATGTCTCCCCAGAGTGCTCCCTGCTCATCCCTATTCATCTATCTCCGTTTGAATCTTAGCAGGAATTCTGATGCTGTCAAGGCCCCTCGGTCCCCGAAATGTTTCTCAAACTATGTTTTGGTGTTCTTTTAATTTTATTAATTCTGCACACTCAGTGCTTTTGAAAATCATCTATTTCACAAACGCTCAAGTAAATTTAATCGTATCTTTTTGAAGCCCTTCCTTACTGTGCTGCCATTAGTTAGTAATGGGGGAGACCAAGAGGCACGGGGTCTGATTATTATTAATGATACCTCAGAGTCACACATACTCACTCCCAATGAACTCTCGGCAGTTCATACACATTAGCTCATTTTTCCTCACAACAGCTGGGCTGGGAGACC